CTGCATGGAGGATGAATAGTGCTTTGATTTCTATGTCAGCCCAATTTCCAACCATTCAGCGTTAGCTCATGCTGCTAAACCGTATCCTCTCTGTACCCATTGAAAATAAACTTTGTTCTAGCTCATGATGTTACCTTCTTTATATCTTTATGCCCAATTTTCACTGCCTGCCTGAAATATATGTGACATAAAGGGGGGGGGGGCACACAGTGGTGGTCAAGCTTGCTTTATAGTGAATGAAGAGAGTGAGTTGCATTAGTGAGAGCAAAGAAGTGAAACAGAGAAAATGTTGCGCTGCAATCTGACCACTTCATTTCAGGAACATAGCCAGCTATTTCACTAGGTCTGACCAGGTAAAATTGATGGCAACACATTGCCAGCTTGTAGAATTGTTCAGACATGAAGAAGAAGTGAAATAGCCGGCAAAGTCCTGGCTAGGGGTGCATGTTTGGCTAAGACTGCAGTTGCCATATTCCCAGTTGATTTTCTCTCAAGTCAAAATAGATTTGAACCATGGTCTGAACTACCTAATGTTTGTACATTATTAAGGTTGTAAACTTCCATTATATCATTGGCTTTTGTGCAGCTCAGAAAAAAGTCAAAGAAACCAGAGAGGCTTTAGAAACATATTACAGCCCAGAGCTTTTATACCAGTAAGCATACTGCAGTTAACCTTAGGGACCCCAACCCAGTCACCAGTAACTCTGTATTAACCATTCATTATTCTCAGTCTGATGCCACAACCAATCAAGCCTTCTCATCTTTCCCCACATCTCCCTGAGACAATTACCTTCAATTTTTCTTCGGTAACACTCTCCCTTCTCCATCAGTAAACAATCAAATCACTCCATTGTTGAGGGTAATTGGATCTCTTTAAATCAAATCAGCCATTATGGCCCTGATGAAGTACGCCCTACTCAGCGGGAGTTATCGACACACAAGGGAATGCAGCAGAGGAATACATTACCATCTCTGCCTCCCAGGTGAAGATGACTATATTGAAGTTGTGTAATACAGGTTTATTAGACTGTGCAGTGATCAGCACAGGGCTTGTTTCTCTCCTGGAGGACATGTTCCAGGTGTAGCTCACATTTCAGTGACAGAGAAAGTAAATGTAAGAGGAGAGGGGATGTTGCACTCCATCATGTAGACGTACTGTCTGTGAAACAGTAGTACTATAAAGTAGAACTCACCACCTACTTATAAAATCTTGCATCTCTTGTTTCTTTCTTCCTGTGTGATCATTATGAGATCGGAGTAATATTATTTTACACTTTTTTACATCAGGTTGCATGTAATTCATTATAGGGGTTACTCTTTCTAAAAGATTCAGATTGTGTATTTCTTAACTAGGTATCTAAAACCTCTGAAGGATAAATTGTTTATTTAGTTGTAATTAATGTATTATCTTAACAAATGATGTCTTCATCAGGGTAATGAGCATATCAAAGTGTTGAACATATGTTATTTGGCTACAGTGGTGTCTGAATATTGCTTTAATTTAAGTTAATTGTCAAGTAGTAATCTTTATGAATATTTCTTCTGTGATGAAACATTGTGAGCTGGTAAAAAAAATAAGTTTTAAAATTGAAAATACAGTAAAATCCCCTAGAAACAAAGTCCGATAAAGAGCAATATGTTCAGGAAAGATGAATGTTGGCTATAGGCTACGTGATTGTATACTGTTTGAGAGTAGTGTCAATGTGACTTCTGTATTGGTTTTTCAGTCATGCTTCTTAGCACTTAGGAGGAAGCAGTATCTATTGAAAGCCAACTGGATCATAGTTAATATACTTTTCCCATCTGCCCTGTCTGCGTTTGTAAGATGCATGCATTGCTGCCACATGTGCGGTCTGCGCTTGGCGTTTGTGAACACTGCTTTGCCCTGGGGCCTACCTCAGCAACATGAAACCAACATCTCTCTCTCTTTTTTTTTTTCTTTTTGTTCTCTCCATGCTTCAAAGTGGAATACAAGGTAGCGACAACATTGGTGGAGCAGAGCTCATGTAAAACTGAAGCCTTTAAACCATAAACATTTGCTTTAGATGTACAACATGCAGTGAGTAAGTGCTGCTTTATTTCCTCAAATTATCCCAAGTTCACAGCCTAAACAGACATAAACCTCATGGTCATGTCACTATACAGGAGAACATTCATTGCAAACTAATGATATTAATCAAGTATGTGGATGAAAATCTGTAAAGTTACCAGTGAAGAGAGTGGAGAAGTCAGGATGTGCTGCATGGTTACTGTACTGTAAAACAATACAAAAACAAGAAACCAGACGCTGAGGAGGAAAAAGCCCTGTGCTGCCTGCTGCTTTGGGCCCAAGTGTGTCCCATGACTTAATTATAGATTGGAGTCCCAGCCCAGCAAACAGAGAGCACAGCAGCAACCAAGACATGTTAGCAAGGGGCCATCACATAATAAAACTATATTAGAACACAGAACACCAGGGAAAAGCAGACAAATTATGACCCACTTGGCTTTAAATAAGTAACTTCCTCTAACAAGGATGAAGATTCTGGGTAGAAAATAACAACGGCCTATGAAGGAATTTAATTTAATCTCAGTTTCACTGTTCTGTTTGTAAAGTTAACTTTGTTAACGATTTATTTTACAGGTTCACTGTAGTAATGGTTTCTTGAAAGTTTCCTGGAATGAACCATGTGCTTTGGTACTAATTACAGAAAAACAGAGATGAAGTTCTGAGATTTTTTTTTTTATCACTGAGTTGTGTTGAGTTTTATTATTGCTTGAATTCCCATGAAAGAACTTGCTCAATTTAAACCTCAGTTAACATTTATTGTTTATTTTACTATTTAAAATGTGGTTAATTTATGCTGAACTGTATTTTGTAGGCAAATTTCACCCTTTGTGTGCGTAGCTCAGCTTCTGTCCTCTGAATAAAAGCTCCAAGTTTGAGTTAGCTTTACATTTAGAAATAACTAGATGTGTACCAAGTGATCACTTTATAATTTTAGCTATAATTTGTGTCAAATTATATGGTTATTTCCAGGAAACTTCTTAGGAAATTATTTGAAAATAAGCTGGAATTTACAGACCTGTACAATAAAGTGTTACTTTTTTTTTTCCTTCCTTACTTTCTCAGTTCTGGTATGGGAACAATACTGAGCAATATCTAGGAGAATGGAGAACACTAGAAGAAAAGAGTTGTAGAGAAAGGAAAACAGGAAAATCTGAAGCTCAGATTTGGTTCTGACTGCATTCAGTGCAGGAAAAAAAACTTGTACCTCACAAGGGTGTTTTGTTCGTACTTTTACTTTTCACTCAGACCTAATAAATTGGAAGTAGCACCATGAGATGCAGAAGATTTGCCTGTCAGTTTTGTCCTGTTGCTGCAAAAATGAGTTGTTCAGAAACATTATTTCACAACCAGTGAAAAACAAAACTGCCTCTGAAATCCAAAAGCATTTTGAGTTTATTGCAAATTGAGTATTTTGGCCTCGGTCCTCTCTGCTGCCATAGAGGATGTAATGGTCCACTTGAAGATGATGTGACAGAGTATTTAACGTTTAGACTAGTGCTTCTTCTGCTCTGCTGTCTTTTGGCTCTATATGTCCCAGTATTTCTGTGTAGGACTTGCATTTGTAAAATTTAAGAGGCTTTTCAGTGTTATATACTAGCATGTCCTGTTTTATTCTTGTGCTCATCCTACTGGTGGGATTGAGTGGATGTTGATAGAAATTAACCACATTCATTATTCAACAACCATTTCTGATTCCAAATTGATAGATGTTTTTCTGAAACATGACCTGTGGTTTTTGTCCCAGGAGCTCAAGTGTAATTGGCAGGTTTTATGAAGGTCAAGACATTTCTTACCCTTTTAGTACAATTCATGTTTGATACATCTGCACATCTCAGACAGCACAGTCACCTCTTTCCTCTCATCTCTTCAGTTCTATACTCCATTGCTGCACTCATCACCTTTTTTGCTCTGATATCTCCTTTGTTGCCCCTCTCCTCAGTCATCTTCATATCCAGTGTTCTCACTTTGATTAGCAGTGAGTATCACTCCAGGAAATAGCAGTTAATTGTTTCCTGATTACAGTCTTTATGCCCCAAGTGTAATGAATGTAACATGAAAAATGTTTGCGTAAATATACACAAATGTTTACACCTATGAATATGTGTATATAAACAAACTCCCCATACAAACTGAAACAATTTTGCAGGTGAGATTAGTTTAACTCTGTATGATCTAACACCAGCATGATGCTGACTACAGGACCTTACTCTGGGAGATTTCATGTGGAATTAGTTTCAACCTCGGTCATTCCCATCTTGAATTGCATACTCACACCAATTTACCTCTACTTCACTCTAAATGTTATTGCTTCCATCTTCTCCACCCTCTGCCTGGCTGAGTTTATAGCTTTCCTATCGGGTTTTCTATCGGACAGCATCTCCAGCATTTCTGAATTACCCCTCTCTCCATTTTCTTCTGGGTTTTTTTTTTCATATGCCAGTCTTTTCCCTGAAATATCATGGGTTGTTAGTGTGCTTCAGAAGTTTTGCAGTGTGCCTTCTCCAACTAGAGCTTTGTGGAGTTATTCAAACCACTCAATAGCTGCACAGTATGTGTATTATTTAGAGGCTCTGACTCATCTGTTTTCTATATATTATTGAGCTAGTTGTATAACAACAGTCACCATAAGCACTAGGCTAAAATTCTCACTTTCATTGGGTATATGAACTATATAAGCAATTTTTTTAAATCATTTAAAAACTCTATATAAATTACAAACCCTCACCCACACATATTGTTTCTCAGTCAGTAAATCAGAAGTCATACGTTCATGTTCTCAAAGCTTAGTAATCTAGCCTCTAAATCTGTCCTTTCTATTGTTCACAAAAATCCATCCAAGGGCAATTTTTAGAAAAGCCTTCAAAGATATTTCCAACTAAATTGGTAATATACAATAGGATGTGCGGAGAAAAAAAAGCCCTTTTTTTGTGTGTCTGTATGTGTGTGTCAGGTAAATACGCAATGAGAGATTTGATCCATCGGTTACCAGGAGGTAGTAGCAGCAGCAACAATAACGCCACCAGCAGCGGAACCTCTGGAACCACAGGCCCTCCCACTCCCAGCAAGACCATGTCAGATGAAACAGTAACTGCCATCTGCTGTGCACTGCATGAAGTCATCACCAAGAATATGGAGAATGCCAAAGCTCTTCGTGATGCTGGAGGCATAGAAAAACTCATCAGCATTGTCCGCAGCAAGGGAGACAAGTGAGTAGGCCATTGTTTTAAAACTGTATTACTATGTTATGTTATAACAGTAAACTTGCTGACAACGGTTGAAGGGATGTGATTTAGGACTTGGATGTTGGAGCCATGACACAAGTGGCCTTGCAGTTATGGAATTGTGTCTCAGCTGTCCTCCAAATGCAATAATTTTGCTATCATAGTATTTTGTTTTTTTCTTCAAATACTGCGAGTGACTGAGACAAAGTCTATAACTTTATGGACCAACAACCAAGCTGCTTGTCAGACTCTGCTGCTGATTTTTTTTGTCAGATAACATGCTGTATGTACTTGCTCAGTACCTGTACACTGACAAAACATTTTTCCCTCAAGCACAAGGTAGAGAAAATAAAAATAACAGGTCAGACTCTGGTTCTAACTTTTTCAAGTTACATTTTGTTTGACAGAGACAAAGATCTTGGACAGCTGCTCTACCATGAATACAACAGTGGTGCAGTAATTAGCATTGTTGCCACACAGCAAGAAGGTTCCTGTCTTGAACCTCATGGACCTTTCTGTGCGGAGGTTGCATGTTCTCCCGTGTCTGCATGAGTTTCCTCTGGGTGATCCAGCTTCCTCCCACAGTCCAAAGACATTCAGGTTATGGTGATGGGTAACTCTAAATTCTCCAGAGGTGTGAGTGTGAGTGCTTGTCTGTCTCTATCTGTCAGCCCTGTGATCTACTGGTGACATCAATGTCTGCTGGGTCTGGTTCCAGCCTCCCTGAGGCCCTCTACAGAATAAGCAGTAGATAAAGGATGAATGGAGCCTATCCTTCCTGATAAAAATAGGGCATAGCAAATATTAGAAATGTTCTACTATAAGTTGTTAATGTAATGCAGTACAATTCACCTTTAAACATTATAGCCTTCATGAAGGTAGAATTTTAGACTGCATTAGTTTTCACTAGGTGTATTTCTTATTAAGTGATCTAATAAACTGTCAACTAAGTGTATGCCTCAGAGAGAAAGCAATGTTCTGTCAGTAAAATAATTTTGGAATAAGCAGAATACAACATGAGAAAGCTCCCTAGGACAACCAGCAATGTAGAACTGTAGAACCCTAAATACTAAAATGTAATGTAAAGTCAAAGAAAAAGGCAAAACAAGATTCTCATTATTGCACTGTACGATACATGTCAAGGCACCATATAGCACAGCCTGTAGGTTAGTGGTAACCAGTGCCTTAATGCAGCCACATATCCATCATTGATAGTAATGTTTACTTTTCCTGTGACCACTCACCAAAAAAACTGGCCAGAGCACAACAAGAAAGATGCAGCAGAAATATAACTCCTAGCACCATGGGAGGCCGTGCAGGGTGTCTGTCCTAGCTGCTATGGCAAACAGCAGGTCAGGGGCTGCCATTACACCAGGGTGTTATCAGGCAGGGGTCAAATGTTGATTTATTGTTATGGAGAGAGACACAATCTATTTAGGGAGCTGTGCTCAAGGGCATTATCACAGAGAGGGATGAGATCCTAGAGGAAACCTCAGTGTTGTTAGCTGCTAATAGCCCACACATCTTCATTTTTGCAGGATAGCTACACTGAGGATAAATGGTCCCTACTGCTGCATTTATGCAATTATACATTTTCAGACTGGGAACGGCCCATTGGATACAACCATACAGCCACTATTTAACTTCTGTGAACATAGTGGGAGATTGAAATTACAGCAGAATGAAAAAAGAAAGAGAAATATTGGTTGAAGCAGTAAATGCAAAAGCATTTCCACATCTTACACGCAGCATCGTGGCTTGACAGGGTGAATCCTGTTTTCATTAGATTTTTGTTAATTTTGGTGGAAAATGATCATTGCTTCACTTTGTAGCTATTAAAATGACTCTTAATAGTGTAATTTTTTAGTTAAGTGGCAGACATGGGATCATTGGCAGGGAAGGTCATTTTAAACTCTGGAAACTCAGTTTTTCTGCAAGACAAATAATTCACTGGCAAAAAGAAGCAGTGGCCCTCTTTCTCCTTAAGCTGTCACAGGTACCACTGCCTTGGACACATCTTGTGATGCTGGTAAAGTGGCAGATAGAATAACACAACAACCTTATCCAAAACAGTGGTGCCCAGGAGAAATAACTCTCTCTCTTTCTCTATCTTCCTCCAGACACTCAGCAAAGGTGGTAAAGGCAGCCTCTCAGGTCCTCAGCAGTATGTGGCAGTATAGAGACTTGCGCTCCCTCTACAAGAAGGTAGGATGTAGTACAAACCATGAACTCATATTTTTGTTGGTTTCATTTCATCATGAACCATTTGTGCCTATCTTGTTTCCTGTCTCTCTCTATGAAATGCATGGGAAATTGTTTTTATATGCCAAGCAGCACTTTCTCAAGGTTTTTTTTCAAGGACTACTGTCATACACATACACCAGCTCCTAGGTAAATGTTAATTTGCAAATTACCAGTGTCATGTTTGGTCAAGTATGGCTGCTGGCAGCTAGATGAAGACACACTAATTATATGATACAGTAGGACTACCGTATGCATGTCACATAAAGGATTAATCATAGTTCAGGCTGTTGTGGAATTAACAAATTTTACTCTGTTAAGCAGTTGTTTAAGTATTAAATCAAAGGTTATAATAATATTTTTCTCCAAAATAGTGCAATCTATTACTAGAAAAATATTGCTGTCATAAGTAGAGTATGTGATGAGTAGTAGATAAATTGTAAATTGATTAAAAAAAATACTATGTCCATATACAGTGGTGTGAAAAAGTGTTTGCCCCCTTACTGATTTCTTATCTTTTTGCATGTTTGTCACACTGTAATGTTTCAGATCGTCAAACAAATTTATATATTAGTCAAAGATAACACAAGTAAACACATCATGCAGTTTTTAAATGAAGGTTTTTATTATTAAGGGAAAACAAAATCCAAAACTATAGAGCCCTGTGTGAACAAGTGTTTGCCCCCTAAACCTAATAACTGGTTGGGCCACACTTAGCAGCAACAACTGCAATCAAGCGTTTTCGATAACTTGCCATGAGTCTTCCACAGCGCTGTGGAGGAATTTTGGCCCACTCATCTTTGCAGAAGTGTTGTAAGTCAGCCACATTGGAGGGTTTTCGGGCATGAACCGCCTTTTTAAGGTCATGCCACAGCATCTCAATTGGATTCAGGTCAGGACTTTGACTAGGCCACTCCAAAGTCTTCATTTTGTTTTTCTTCAGCCATTCAGAAGTGGACTTGCTGGTGTGCTTTGGATCATTGTCCTGCTGCAGAACCCAAGTTCGCTTCAGCTTGAGGTCACAAACGGATGGCCGGACATTCTCCTTCAGGATATTTTGGTACACAGCAGAATTCATGGTTCCACTTATCACAGCATGTCTTCCAGGGCCTGAAGCAGCAAAACAGCCCCAGACCATCACACTACCACCACTTTACAAAAAACAAGCTATCAAACAAGCTAGTAATAACCCTTGTGTTAAAAGCATCTCAATAATTAAAATAGTAATTAATATACATACCAAACTACTTTTCACTATAAAACGGTTACCAGACACAGTAAGTTATAGTATGTAACTTAAGGTAGTACTAGCATGAAACTCCAAATTAATCCACTCTGCTCCACCCAGCACTCCCTCTCCCTGCTCCACTACGCTCTACTACGATCTGCTATGCTCGGCCATGCTCTGTCCAGCTTATTAGGTATTTGTCATTATAATTACGATAAATGGGAATGCAACAAAACTTACTTATCAAGCAGAATCAATTGAACATCTCTAATTGGTTAGAGAGGTCAATCCTGCTCAAAGGCTTTTAGAAGCTAATATCTTTGTACTGCTGCCAGTGCTGTTCACTGAATCACAGTAAGATACGACAACACGTTATTGTGTACAAGTAGAGAATGAAATGTTCTCAAGGTCCTGTTAAGATATATAAATATAAAGTGAGCAAAGTGTAGAAATAGGAATAATACTGTCAGAATATAAGGTAAGATGGCCAAATGGGCCCAAATTCTAGCATGCCTAACTGTAGCAGCAAATGTTATCTTAAAGTGCACAAGCTAAAAAAATAATGTACCCAAAATAAACAATTTTAAAAAATGAAATTACTGCCCCCCTTTGAGAATTGCCACCTTAATGTGGTGGAGGGATTTGTGTGCCCCGGTGATCCTGGGTGCTGTGTTGTCAGCAGCAGTAGCCCCTAGTAGGGTTTCTCAAGACAAATTGGTCCCAGAGGAGCAGCTAGACAAAGAGCGATTCAAAAGACCCCAGTGAATCGGATTGCTTGGATCTGTGCTACCTTGCCCGGATTAGGGAAGCAAGGACAAAGCAGAAGATAATGATAGATGAAGGAATGGATGGTTACTGTTCTTCAGCTGCTTTGATTACACTCATAACTCTGGCCTCTTTTGAAAGGTTACTCTAAATTTTACAACCAAAACATTAAAATGAGTACAAGACATATGAACCAATGTTACGTGGCACAAATGTATGTGTTAGGATACGTGAATGTAAGTCAAAGTCTCCACGAGGAATGTAAACAAACGTGTGTTTGCTTTCACCTTGAGCCCAGTCATAACTACCTCCAAACAAAAGAAATATGGGGTTCAGATAGGCACCATCATAACTGAGCAGCAGTGTTTACACAGGCAGCAAGATCAATAACCTCATGTTAGTCTCTAGCCTGTTGTTTTATTTTTTCAACATATGCACACACTCGCTTACACACACTCAAACTAACATCGATCCTAGTAGTTATTCAGCCCATCATGAAGACTGAATGGTATTATCAGGAAACTGTAGCTCTTTAATACACTACCTAACTTGTACGGAGGCTCACGAAGAATGGCACAAACAAGAAAAAAGTTAGAAAATTATATAAGATGTAGAGAAATGGTGATTGGTGTTCATGCTGCTCTCACTTAGATACACACTTATCTTTTTCTCTCTCTTTTAGACACATACAAACACCGCTGAGTCGTACTATCTCCTCCTACGGTTCCTTTGTTTCTTTTCAAATGCCTGCACACACTTGCAACTTAATTAAAAGTAATGACAGATGATCTGTTCCTTTTACTTGTCTGAGTGGTGTTGAGTGAATATCTGCCACCAAGGTTATCTGCCATTCAGCATGTTAGAGGCGTAATCAACGTGTTTCAGTGAGATATGTAGAAATACGAAGTAACACATTTTAGAAAGAAGTCCTTGGCTTTGAATGTGTCCTTTTCATTTCTGTGTGAAGAGAAAATAAGACTGAAGCTAATGATTTATTTGGACAGCATGCTTGTGTGAATAACTGTATATACACGTATAAATCTAATGCTATACAATGCAAAACACAAATTTTGTATTTGTGATGATTATAATGATCAGTTTTAGTTGACACCTTCTTGGTGTCCTATCTTGAGCCTTTAATGTGAAATCTTTGAGGAAACCAAGCTAACAAAGCATCAAGAGAGATTATTTGAGCACTGCTGTGTGAGTCACATCAACAAGTAATTTAATCTTGTGTTATTTTCTCACAAGGATTTCATACTTGCAGGTCAAGTACCTGTACATCAGTTTGTCGTTCAACCTCGAAAAAACTCTGAAACAACCACAGAGAGCTGTCATTCTTCAAAGCAGTAAATCATGTTTTAAAAAATATATTTTAAGTAGTTGATGCATTAGAAACGAGTGCAAAATTTGCTCACCCGAATAATATGTGGCCATTTGTTTGGAGAGACAAATATAAAGCCAATATCTATAGGCACAGTCACTATAAAAGAGCCTGGATAGTGGCAAAGCTGCAGGATTTTATAACTACACATTGTTGCATTAGAGAATCCACACTTTGACTTTATCACCTGAGTCCCAGGTTTGAAATAAGTGACTTTATTGCTGGTATACCTGCATGGCATATTAGCTCATGGGAGTTAGGTGCAGACAAAATCCTGTTAGCCTCAGTCCAAACATGGATTAGCATACAATTTAAACAAGAGTGGAGGTGGGTGTCTGCAACAAGTTTGTGAGCAAAAGCAAGGGGGAGAGGAAGACTGTGGCAAAAAAGGAGAAATAACAGGTGAAGTGAGAAGAATTCTTGAAGCGTAACTCTAGCATACTAAGTAAGAGTTACATGTGTATACAGTCATTTTGAAAAGTAGAGAACAGTATAGGGTCAATAATTAGTCATTCTGGGCTGCTTTGAAGTCTAAGTAATGATTTTAAACTGTGTAGAAGTGAAGGGTGTGGGTTCACACAAATGTTTGTTTTTTGGGAAGTGCATGTGTAACTTTGAAAATGTGTGTTTTGCTCAAACTGCGGTAAAGAGAGTTAATCGCTTTCTACAGCAGCAATAGCTAAATGAAAAGCTGAGGGCCCATAAATTAAACAGTAACTGTATGAAAATAGCATCTATGCATTTGTTGTTTTGGTTATGTGTCCTTATTAGAGGTTGCACAGATTAGTCAACATGATGTCGTCTGGTCACCGTGATTATAACAACTGACAATATTTTCACCACTTTGCAGTGGCAACCTGCACCTGAAGCAAGGGTGGGTACAGCTGAGCAGTAAGGCCACAAACTAAACTAAACCAAGACTCCAAAAGTCACTGATTACAATACTGCAACCCCTAGCCCTGTCTTGTGTGTTTATATTTTTATGACATCATCAGAAAGTAGTCAGCGTTGACTCGAATTTCATTAGAGAACTGAAGACACCTTTAAAAAAAAATCAGAATATGTGCAACCCCTTATTCAGTGTGTGTGTTTGTACTGAATGTGTGCATGTCATGGTTCACCTGCAGTTTCTAGGAGGGAAGCCACAGCTAATCTGTTAAGTAAACCAGAAATGTGCACTACTGTTCAACAGGGGACTTCTATAGAATACAAGGGCTTGAAAAATGTACAAATAAACCCCTTAGCACAAAGAGAAAGAGAAAATTCTTTGTCTCACTCACAAACTTGCAGTATGTTTCTCTCTCACATACACTAAACACTACATTTCATACTGTATATTCAAACTGCTACACTTTATCACAGTGTGTAAATTCTGTTGGGTTGCTCTGCTTCATTTCTTGATAAATGATCTAGCTTGGGCTTTTAATCAGACACACTCTCACAAACACAAACTGTTCATGGACATGTACAGTATACCGATATCACACACATACATCGCGAATGCCACAAATCAGAAAAACAGATACACTCAAGACTGATGAGGGTCAGGGCCAGAGAGATGTGTTGATTTTCAGTATGTGCCAGGGATGTGTAATTCAGTTTGTGAGTGTGTTTAGTGTGATCTAGAAATGTGTGATCTGGAAATGTGTGTGTATGTGTAAAGTCACTCACTGATTGCACAACCTATATAATGCTCAGTATTTCTGCCAGTAAAATGAATACACTCAAATGTTTTAATCTGCTACTGACAAAACAGGTAATAGAATGACCATCAGATTTTAAGTGAGTTGTACTTAATTATTTACTTTTTTCATTATTTTTTCCAGTTTTCACTGAGTCTGCTTTAGATTTTTTGCTAAACCAAATCAGTGACATGATCTTCAAGAAGAAACGAATCCACCATCTGCTGACACACGGTATAAACGGGAAAAGACAGCAAGATGGAGATGAGATGATCAAACTAACCTCAGAAATCAGAAGCTGCCAGTGTTTCACTTGCTTTTTCTCTGATGCTCACGTGTCTGAGAGAGACGAGACTGAGTTTACTTGGCATAGGCTGTCTTAACGTAGAGGCTCACAATAGTATTTTAGTGTGCCTGATAAAGCTGCAGGCTACTCTTGTAGTATTCTGAGCAATTTGTAATAAATGCAACTGCAAAATAAGGGTCAATTCTGAAATAACCACAAACAGTGATAATAAAGAACACAAAGGTCAGAGGCACATTATTGCTGTGAGGATAGATGGATCATGTGTGAGTGAAGCATCCAACTGTAAATCTGACAATCTGAGAGTGAAACAATGACAAAATGACAACGTTCAGTGATCACAGAGACCCAGCGGGGGCCCACCTCTCATCTTGTGTAACCTTTTATAGTTTTGCCATTCATCCTGTCTGGCAGTAGCGCACCCACACACACACACACACACACACACACACATTCACCTTATTTGCTGGAGCAATAAACTCTTCATCGACTTTCAGCTCACCATCCAGTGATGGTGATAGCAACAATGCTTTGATTTTTACAGTAGGGGCTGAAAGGAGAACTAGATACTGAGTATGAGAAAGTGGAGGTGGGTGAAAAAGTCTGAATGACCAGATACCTTACAGAACTGCAGAATAAGGATCTACTTTACAGAAAATGGAGTTGCTGTCTGTGGGCATGGGGAGATCATGTTTGCTTATAATGTAAGGTTTCACAGTATGCACTGCCACTGAACAAACAGAGCATGACCCAGAAAATGGTGCAAAAACCTAATACAAAGACTTCAGACCTTAAACCAGTGTCTGATTTGCTCTCATACGAAATTTTGATGTCGGATTTGATATTTATTTAACCCACTACACATCACTGTCTACATGGTAGGCCAGATATTAAATCGAATGGTGTGCAGACAATCATTTAAATCAAGAGAATGAGCTTTATTTGAACTTCTGGTGGATTTCCCAAAGACTCCGGCAGCAAAGATGTTACAGGTTAAAACCTAGTTACCTTGGGGTCTTTCTGTGTGGAGTCTGTATGTCCTCCCTGTGCCTGTGTGGGTTTTCTCTGGGTACTCCAGCTTCCTCCTACAGTCCGAAGACATGCAGATCAGGTTGATTGGTGATTCTAAATTGTCTGTAGGTGTGAATGTGAGTGTTAGTGGTTGTCTGTCTCTATGTGTCAGCCCTGTGATAGAGTGGCAACCAGTGCAGGGTGTACTACACCTTTCACCCACTGTTGGTTGGGATCAGCTCCAGCCGATGGATGGATATACTGTATTCTCTTCTATTATCTCCTGTCTGATTATGATCATTCTTTTGAGTTTGGTTATTGTAAAGTTTAACAGCATTTCTGGACCCAATTTTTGAGCCACATTTATAGACCACAAACTCTGCAGAATACATTCAGTATTCAGTATGTTCATTTAAGCAACATGACTGTTTGACAGTGTCACAATGGTCTACTGTCCCCTAAGGGGGTTACATGGTTTATAATGAGATGTGGTGAGGTAAAAAGGAGAAACAGAAAGTGAAACAAGGTGGGTGAGATTGAAGTGAGAGGGAGGGAAAGATGGTGGAGCTGCCTTTGAACTACAGAGGACCCAGCTCTCTGTTAGTCCTCAGTGCTGTGACAGGAAATAGGAGTCAGAGAAGGATGTGAGACTTCTCACTACTTCTTTCCCTCTGGCTGTCTCCCTCACTCGCCCTCTCATGACCTCTCTCCTCCTCTTGCTGTCATTACTCTCTCCATCTCCCTCCTCTTCATTGCTCTCATGACTTTTCTGTTTTTGTCTTCTGTACTCTGTCCGTCCTCACTCTCTTTCTGCCTCATTTTCCTCCCTCTGTTGCCTCCACTCCAGCCTAACTGTACTGAAGGGATTTACCTCTACCATGTTAGTCACAGTCCCAGCAGTGCAACCAGTTTTCCATTGTTGACCCACAGGGCCACACACTAAAGTTATGACAGGATGTCTCCATTATCTTTATCATCTGCTTACTTTGATTTCAGAGCTACCCAATTACTGTAATGCTAAATTAATTAAATTTGGTTCCAGCTCTGTGACTGTTGTTGACTCTCATAATCTATTTTTATGAAAAACGGCTTTACTCCAATCGTTGTTAAACTAATGCAAATACATAGTCACAGTCTTGGTAGTAATTATGCTTGTGGAGTTTATTTTATTCTACAAGGACAATGGGATTTTCACTAAGCTTAGGCTTGATAGCAATGTGTTCATTTGTGATGTGTGAATATATTTTTGATTCGCCTACTCATCTGTAAACCTAACAAAATATTGGACTAAAATCTCTCAATATTTCATTTTTACTGAATCATTCAATTGCTTTTTGTTTTGTAACAGAAAACCAAGGTCAAGCAACTTTTTTTGGACATTTCACAGTCACACTGACCCTGTTAAATCTATTGGAAATTCATGTTTTGTGGCCTAAAAATTCCAATAATTTCATTCATCGTTTTATGTATACAGAAGTGGCTGTGTGTGTGTGTGCCTTTTGCATGTCTGTAAATATTATAAGCTGCCAAAACCAATTGCTTCTTCTGTGCTTTTGAAGGTGTAATTGAAGCAACATGGGTACACAGAGGGCTTTATCTCTCCAAAGTTAAAGACAGATGGATGATGTCTGTTATAAATTAATGTGAGGTTGAAATGATCGGGGGCGGCTGTGGCTCAGGAGGTAGAGCGGGTCGTTTCCTAACCGGAGGATTAGTGGTTCGATTCCTGGCTTGTCCAGTCAACATGTCGAGGTGTCCTTGAGCAAGACATTGAACCCCCAGTTGCTCCCGGTGATGTCACCGGTGTGTGAATGCATGAGTGCTTGGGAGTGCGAATGGGTGAATGGGTGAATGTGAAAGCGCTTTGAGTGTGCTGTAAAAGCATAGAAAGGCGCTATACAAGTATAAGACCATTTACTATTGTTTAAATAAAGACAATGGGATTACAGTAGTTTTATAATAAACAGTAATTCTCTGTTGAAAAAGCATCACCAAATGAATATTAGTTTTTCTGCAAGTTTCTTCTTTGTGTGCTTGTTTTGCAGGATGGCTACTCCCAGTATCACTTTTTGGGTTCTGCCTCAACGATAGAGAGAGACCGACAGAAGCCCTATACCTCCTCACGAACTCCCTCTGTCTCCCCTGTCAGGACATCGCCAAATAACCGCTCTGGTGAAGAACACAATGACACTTACAATACAGCTATTATGCCTGTTTTATTGTGCATGCGTGTGCTTTTCTTCTTGCACTCCAGTTCTTCTAACATCCAGTTTCAGTTTAAGACTAGCAACTAAGAACAGTTGTATCCAGATTCCCATCCCAAAGTTTACTTGCATTTAGAGTCAAGATAGATTTTGCAGTAAATTTAGGTTTGTGTAATCTCACATTGCTAGAAATCTGACTATCCAAGATCATCTGAGGTCTTGAGAAGCTGGTTAAAAAGGGTCAGGGACATGGTGCAGCATCATTGCACTTCAAGCCACAAAAAAATAGGGAGAAGTGAGACCAGTGAGATGTCTTTGCACTTAAACAAGAAAGTAAGGCATCTTCTGGGGGTAGATGCTTTCTCACACCAATCACCTGCCTTCTTTAGGATTATAAGGTCTCATTACTGAAAGGGTGATTTGTCATTATTAATTGTTCAGTTCCGCTTTAGTTTTACTGTTAATTTCAGCAATTAGGGCAGATGTAGCATGGTAGGTATTAAAGGAATACATGATTAAAATCTTGCTGAGAGTCAGTTGAGCAAATTAATACTCTCGTGTTTACATTAAATATGAGGCTCGAGTCAAGAGGCAATTAGCTTAGTGTAGCATTAAAACTGGAAGCATGGAAAAATAGCAAGCCTGGCTCTGTAAAATCTGCCTGAATTTAGCTAATTAATACTGTATATTGTGTGTGTCTATTTGTAGGCTACACATACTGCAATGTAAAAATGACAAGCTGTGTTTTTACAATCAGTTAAGCTGTGACATCAATTCACGAAGTCTTGTTGTGACCATGAGGCAGGATTCTTTTAATTTTGGACAGAGCCATGCTAGCTGTTTCCCCCTGCTTCCATACGTAAGTTAAACTAATGGCCTACTGGCTGTATCCTCATACTTAACAAGACAAGAGAGTTATATTGATCTTCTCTTCTAACTATCTGTAAGAAAGCATTCAGTAGAAGCCACAGTCCTACTGCTTCACTTGTTAGGGAATCCATTGAGACCAGCAAACAGTAGAAGGGCAAACTACAGTACAAGGCTGTATGCACATGTATGTCAAACATGAGGACAGTTAGAAGGTACAACTGACACATGGATTCTTCTGAGCAGTAATTTAGACATTGGCCAGTAAGCATCAACATTTACCAGTTTTTACACTGGGGCTAAATAGCTGTTACGGTCAGTGCTCACCACTCACAGGATTTCATGCTGTAAGGTATGACTATCTTAAGCCTACTGGCCTTCATGCTTTACAAATGATGCCTTAGCAATAGCTGTTAGCATCAGTGGTAGAAGAGCCTTTTGGCTGAGCTTTCTCTCCAGCTGGCTTAGAAAGCTGATGAGGCACAAAAGTTCTTTTTCTTCCTCTCAGCTCCGAGAGGCCTTCAAGGACCCTACTAGGAGACAGAGTGTACATGTGTATTTATGTTTATATATACCGTATGTGTGTGTAAACAAAGAAAGAGCGATGAATGAGATGAACAGAGATTTTAAAAAAAGTAAGGAGGCAGGGAGGGATTAAAAATCATTAATGCAGGGAAGAAGAAGTGAAAAATGTAACTTTTACTTTGGCTGCGAACATTGAAAATAAGGGGTTTTGAGATCTTACTGTGTAAAGAAATCTATGGATGTATGTAGTACAGAAGGTCAGGGAAATGGGAAATGGCTGGAAATGACTCCCATCCTCAACTAAAGAGGGAGAGAGAGACCTTTGTGTCTATAATAGTCACTTTTATGTTAATGTTCTTCACTGCTTTATTCAGACGTACCCAGGACTACATGCTTTTCTTCATCCTGCACATTTACAACATAATTCAGGCTTGATCTTATTGTGCATAGTGTACAACTTGTTAACCACCGCGAAAGCCACCTCTCCCCATTTGCACAGAGGCTGAGGCAGAATGTTTGCATGACTTTTAGTATCTCTCCTGGTAGAATAAAGGAGGGTCAACATTGGCACCCCAAGATGGTTTGGTACCTTTTATACAGAACAGTGTGGCACAAAATTGGGACAATAATCCCAGCTTGAACAGGCAGTGTAAAAGAGGATAATGTCAATTGAAGTACTGGATTTTATAAAGTGGTCATTTCCAAGGCACTCCAAAAAATCACTTTAAAAGCTTTTTTCTGCTTCGCTTGTTATGTTTTTAAGTGCCTTGTTTCACTGATATCACATTATAGGAGAACAACCCCCAAAAGGTTTTTATACAGTTTTTTTAGTGCTGTATACCCCTTTGATATCCAGAAATATGGGTAGCATTTCTGGTTACACAACTGAGAGCGGTGCTTTCCATTAACCGTGTGTGTGTGTGTGTGTGTGTGTGTGTGTGTTAGGTATTCACACACATACTCGGTATTGATCTTGGTGTTTCTCTCCAATAGCTACAGTACTACAGTCATCCGCACTCCTAAGAGTTAGGTTAAACAGGTCCAAAAAGCTTATTTCAAGAATGTCCTGGGATGTACTGAAAGGGCTGATACTCACGTAGGAAGGATTCTGGCAATTCTGTGTGCCAAGATAAAGAAGGGCTGAGTCAGCACTTTACATAGGCTGTGAGGAATTACATTGTGACATGATGGGTGTGTGTGGAAAAGAGAGAGGGACTGGGACGCTGTATGCACAGAATATGTGCTGGGCCTGTGCATGCCAGTTTATGAATGAGTGCACACAGGCATGTGGTTTGTGTTGCATCCATATGTGTAAAATAGATCTAGTGTAAAATATCGCGAAAGTGACAGAAATAGAAACCTGTGAGGTTTGGTGATGTAAAATCAATTTGAAGTTCTAATAGCATAGTGTATGAAATGAAATCTTCCCTCACCAGAGATAGATGTAAGTATGATTATTTATTATCACAATAACTAATAAAATTTCAGCTACAGCTGAGTACAACTCCAACCAGGTTGGAGGGAGCCTGTCGCTCCAACCCAGGTCAGCTGTAACATCTGTACACCACCTGGTGCTGATGAGTGTGTGAAAAATAAGAAGAAGCTTTATTTATTGTCATTGTAACATGTACAATGAAATTTAGTTTGAAGCCAAGGGCCCCGGGCCACTGCGTGCATACTGTACACGTCGCCATCACAGGGAACTTGGGGAGGTTCAGTGTCTTACCCAAGGACACTTTGTCATGTGGACTGCAGGCACCGAGATTCAAACCTCCAACCTTTAATCCAGTTGGGAGACGACTGCTCTACCATAATGCAACTGACCAGCTTCTGCTACATCAAGCTGCAATGCAACATTGACTAAAACTAAATAAAATAAAAAACCAGCCTTAAACAAACAGTCCCAGGATGGCTACATCTTCATTAATATCAAAGCTACAGCCATCATTTGATGCACTATTGCTTTGAACTAAATGCTAACATTTCCATAGTCACATGCTCACAATGACTATGACAACTTTCTAATGCTAAGCATATAGGCTATAATATTTTCTACCTTCGTATACTAACATGCTTATTAGTGCTAAACATAAACATGAGACTGATGGGAATGATGTCAGTTTATGTTTTGTCATGAAGTTTTGGACAAAGTGATATTTTGACATGGAAACTACAGAATCAAACTGGCCTGCCTCCATGTACATTTTTGTTGTACATTGGTCCCCACAGTAGGAAACAACACTTGCCAGTTGCAGATCTGGATATTTCACATGAGACAAAAAGAAAAAGGAATACATTATCTCAACTGAGAAAATACATATGCACCAGATGTGACTTTTGATATTCAAATAATGTTTCTGAGACTTGATGTGTGTGTGTGTGTGTGTGTGTGTGTGTGTGTGTGTGTGTGTGTGTGTGTGAGAATTCCCAGATGCCCTTTAACATGTTGGAGGTGACCCTTTTTGTTGACAGCCTAAATGATGAATAATGACTATGCACCTTGAAAGACCAAGACACACACAAAGCATACAAAGTGTCATGGCTCATTCTGTTCTGGGTTTATTGCTCGTTATTTTGGATGTGTGTGTGTGTGTATGTATGTGGTTGGGTGTGTGTGGGTGTGCATGCAGCTAGCGCACCAGCCTCCCCCAGAGAGATGATCAGTCTGAAGGAACGCAAGATGGACTATGATTCCACAGCAACCAATGTTGGTTTCCATAGCAACAAAGGAGAGCACACATCCCGGAAAGACGGCATGGCAGGTGCGTGTGTGTGTGTTTGTATGAGTGAAAGATGGAGAGACAGGGAATAATTAAATTTTTCTACCTTATCCCTTTATATCTTTGTTTCTCTTCTATTTTTATTAAGCCCTGAATTTCTCCTGGTCTTTTTTGACCTAACAGTTTTTATTCTTACTCATATAATTAGATTTTACTATCGCTCCTTTCTACATTTCTCTTCTCTATCCTATTGTGTGGCTCTTTTTATATCTACTGATCCATTTTCTATTCTCTCTCTGTTTTTTCTTGGTTTTCTCTCACAGTATTGTCTTGAGGTCACAAGTGTCAGAGTGACTGCCAGTCTTGTAGACAAACAGCAGGAAGATTTAGACTCTAGTTAGCTGATTTTTGACTCTACCGACTGTGGAGTTTTCCACAATTTTGTTATTCTTTAAATTATGCCTTTTTAAATTTCATTCATATAAAGATGCTGTCATTCTCTTTTCATTCTGTCTTCCATTCCTACAGTTCAAGTATCCTGTGGGACATCTACATTGTTCCGAAACTCTTACCTGACTGCCAGTGATGACATCAAACAGAACCAGGCAAGTTAATAGCACACAGTCACATGCCAGCACAGCAGGTTTTAACAGTGCATGCCAATCATCAGAGCTCTCATAAATTGGCATATGCTGTCATGACGAGGTGGTTATTCAAAGAAATAGCAGCAGGATGGCAGAGGCACACACCTACATATGGACACAAAGGAGTGTGCAAAGAAATTAACCCAAACTCAGGTGCCATCAAACTGCTGCACCTAAAACCACACCCGACTGGCACAAAATTTGGTTAGATTTCTTGTTCATCTGTGTTAAATACTTAATTACTGTATACTTTGGCTTTAAAACTGCAGGTTAAACCGTACTGAATACCTGAAATGGGTGTTGACTGTGTTTCCAAACAAACACACAACTACCCTGTGAGAGTTCTAGTGTTAGAGGTGAATTGCCCTGTTCAGTACCTGCATGTAATAGAGAATTCACAGCTTGAGATCCTTCCCAATCGATTCCTATCAGAGCCTGTTTAGCCAGACTGCCTGCCTTTCAAACCCAGATCCTCCCTGTGCTCACTCTCTACCTGCTACATTCCTTTCTATCTCTTCACCTTTCCTCCCTCCCCTACTCATTTTGCTCCCACTTTCTTCATTTCTATGACTTTCTGTTCATGCTCACGCCACCTCATACTCGCTCTCCCCATCTCTCTCTCACCTCCCACTTTCTGTTCGCTGCCGCCACCACCAGGCTCCAGCCCAGCCCTGTATTGTGCCCCCCCAGCCCCAGCAGGACAGCCCATCAGCAGGTGTACTAAAAGACTACGACTCCTACCCTCCCCCTCCTTCGTTCCCCCAGCCTCAGCCGTCACAGCCTCCTCCTCACAACCAGAGTCAGAGCTTTGATGACGCATACTATGAGGGACCTCCACCTCCCCCATCCCAGCCACAGCCACAGATCCAGGCACAGGCCCAACCCCAGCAGCCTCCAAGCTCAACTGGACCACCCCGGGATCCACGGGAAGACCTGCGCATGCACCTGGGCCTCAAATCCACCGGCAACTATGTTGATTTCTACTCAGCCTCTCGGCCATACAGTGAATTGAACTACGAGACCAGCCACTACCCAGCCTCGCCTGACTCCTGGGTCTAATTAGACTCTGATGATAGTGGGGCAAGAGAGAGTCTGTGTGTCCATGTGTGAAGTGTATGGGTTTTGCAAACAATCAACGGCAGATTAACACAAGGTTACAGCAAGTGGCATGTTGGAAATGGATCTTGTAGCTAATGGCAAGAAATTAGGGGAAAGGCAGGGCTGGATGGGGTTAAAAAGTGCAGTCATTTTTGAGTAACAAAGAGGGATTGTGCATGTGCATGCCAACATTTTTCTTTTTTTCAGACAGCTTTACTTCTTCAGCTCCATTGCACCTGTGAGTGGATAAGGAGCAAGTGGCACTACTGTAAGGGTGAGAGATTGGTGGGCAGGGAATATAGAAAGAGAGAAAATGAACAGGCGGAGAGAGCGCACAAGACCTAGAGAGGAAGCAAGTGATGGGATCAAGACATAATGGGGAGTAGATGAGGGAGATCTCTTACTCTATAGGAGCAGAAAGTGGCCTGACCTTTTGTTGAAGACAGAGGAAGAAAAGTGATACAAAGACACCATGAGGGTTGTTCTTGAGGAGGTCAGGAATATGAAAAGCACAGAGAAAGCTGGAAGCACATCAGGCCCAATGCAAGTAGTGGCTGCTTACCATTTCACCCAAGTGACAAACATAGCACTGCTTTCTTGTTGCAATGCCCCTGCTGCCTACAGAGGAATGCTATCTTTAACAAACATCTTTTTAGTCATCATTGTTTGACATGATATTTTTATTTGTACTTTGTTAAGTTTTCATTTTCTCTGTACAGTGTGTATATTACATTTTTTTTAAATGGGACCAAGTTCTTTTTTCATGACTACTGACTGAAATAACAAAAGCAACAAAAATAAGTCAAATGCGAACACACAAAGCAGAAAAGACAAACACTGGCAGGATGGCTGTCAGTGGACATCTTTGTTTTTGCCTTTTTCCCAACCAGAGATGAGGCCCTGCAGTATTTGTGTTTTTCTCTCTCCATCAAGTGAATTTCATTGTGGCTGTGCTCAGACGTCAACAGTCAGAGCATCACACTGGCAGAGCAGCATCCCAAGTCCCCATCAACAACAAGCACTTTTTCACTGCCTAAAGAATATGTCTATGTTTAAAGCACACCGTCTGTCTTTGGAAAGTATTGTGCTTTCCTTTTGGTGAGCTAAATTGTTTGACTTTGTGAACTTTCAGTGCTTTCTCCTCATCACTTAATAATAAATAAAAACTGCTCCTTCCAACAAGAGCCACTGTGAATATTGTACATGTCAATGTACAGTAGAGATAAAGAGAGAGCAAGACATGACATTGTGCCAAACTTTGACACCTTGTGGACCAGTCATGGTCCTAATGGACTTTAAAAGAACATTTTGTCGAAGTTTACAGACGATGACTGGATGACTCCCTCTGCTGTTTATAACTTTTATTTTCTTTAGTTTTGATCATATAACATACACATTGCTGGGGATCATGGGTAACAGCTCCCTCCCATAGATATACAGACCTGCCTCTCTGTGTTGACTGAGCATGTGTGGGTGTTACGTCTGGACACACGTGTGTTTGTGTGCATGTATGTGACAGAATGTGAGGCCTTTGTGTATACGCACAACCTGAGTGAGTGTATCTATGCATGCATGTGTGTGGTAGTGGGTGTATGCCACTGTTGTGTGTATGTGTGTGTGTGTGTGCGTTCTTGTATAAATCAATGTCCAAACAAGGCATTCCTACCGACAGTTTGTCCAGTTTTATAACATGAAATACCAAGCTAAAATGACTAGAATGAATTGTTGATATAGAATGACAAATCTAAAAATATATGAAAATGCAACAAATGTTCACAGAGAAAACAGTTATGTTGTGTACAACAGGAGTCTTGTTCACTTTAAATAAATGTGGAGATTGCTGACTGGACCCCCCTTTCTATTCAAGGCAAAAGAGAAATCCCACCTGAAGATGATCAGGCTCTGGTGTGAGTTGTGTGTTATTGTGTGTCCATGCTTCTTAGATGACCCTGCTGAGAGAGGACCGTATTTGAACACAAGGACAAATAAAAAGACTTTGCAATCAAACCTCATGGTCTTCTTTGCTGTTGGTTATTTAAATAGATGGAATTTTAATCAGGGACATGTAGCTCTTTCTTGGGTTACCAACAATCAGTTTGTTTCTTCACATGTACATTGTAGAAAGTGTTGTCCTCATAGCACAAAATTAGTCATGCAGTGTACGATGTGGGTTAATCTGACACACTTTGATGTGTATGAGATTCAATTCTCATGTTTGAGCTCCTTCATTTTGTATTTTGTTCAAAAGGACTTAGGGTGGCTTTGAAGAGCTAATAGAGTAAGTTCGCTCCATAAAGGCAAAACATTTTTTCCCACAGCCCTCAAGTTTTTGAGCAAGACTCTGGAAGTTAACATATCAAGTAATCAGATAAAATCAAAAGAGGCTTAATACAAATGCATTTTTAGAAGATACAGTATGTGTTTGGCAGCACGGATGCTTGTATCATATAAAGCAATCCCATACAGCAATGCCACCATTGGATATCCTCAAATGAGCAGTTTCAGTAAGGGTTGTATCTGCAAAGTATCAATTCAAGTGTGTAAAATTTTCACCTTGTGAGTTCAACAGAAAGTCTGCATGCATTACACACTGGTGCTGTAGAGTGGAGACTGTCCTCCTGTAAAAAATGAGTCCATATGTGGTTTTTGGCACCAGGGTGTTATGACCAACAGTAATATTTTGTAGTTAGGCAACTGCTAGCAGCTGTAGTAATTATAATACAAGCAAAGGACAGAGTTAGGTGACATGTTATACTGAGCAACAAACAAGACATTCACTCGGGAGACTCTGTGAAACAATTTTTATCCTTGACCATTTCTACAACCTTAACTGTGTTTATCACAAAGATCATGTAACATTAGGGAAGTAGCTGTCATGATCACAACCAACATTTCTCTAATTGATATTGGTCAAATTAGTTTTGTTTTATATCATGCATGCAGCATGATATTTGCATTCATTTCCCTGATTGTGTTGTTGTGGAGTACTTGGCATGATTCACCTCAGTCGGGGGGCGGGGGGGGGGTCAATGTCCAAAGCCAAGAGTAAATAAAGACTGCATCCAAAGTTGGCCAAAGGAAGAACCATGTGTGTCTCATTTTTACACAAATTAAACAATTTTAATAATGTATTGTTTATTATTTCATAAAACTAGGGGTTTAATGAACCTTTTACATGTATTTCAAATGTGCCACCCCTCTCTGAGTTTGTGCCCCAGTCTGGTCATCCTGTCCAAAATTTTCTAGCTTCTTTCCTGGGTGGAACTTTTATAGTGTTATTTAATTTTATGATATTAAGTGGTTGCACAAAATAAATGTATCTAGTGAAGTGTACTTTTTATTGTGTATTTTATTATGTACGTTTTTATTTATTTTATTTCTGCACCATGATGACGAAGGTCCAGAAATCCTTCTATTGAAAAGGTTCTGTGGGCCAAAGTGTGCTTGTATACAAGCATGCATACATGTAACAACATGTATTATCATTTGCTTTGGAGGATTCGTTTGGAATTTTTGATATTCACCAAACTCCCTAATGTTATGGAGCAGCAGAACTGAATAGCTAAACTACCACTTTAAATCAACACCATGAAGAAACAAATAGATGTAATTTAAGGAAGTTTATGGATATTTTTAACAACCTCCCTATAGGCTGCTGATTGCCTGATGCATTTATGTTGTCCATAATGTCTTCTGCAATGAAACTGAAAAAAGTAAACATTTTATAAACTTTATTTCTATTTGTGTTGCTCCCAGGTGAAATGTGTTACTCACATCAATGAAATGTAATTCTTTTCACGGGTTTACTGAGCACATCAAAGTTTGAAAATAACAGAAGAGTAACAAGACATCCCCTCTTTTTTTATGGTCAGTTTTGATACGTTTCTTTGAATAGATTTTGTTATTAATTCAATAAAATTTTATTTGTGTTGTGCCAAATCACAACAAAAATAATCTCAAGGCACTTTACAGAATAAAGTCTAGACCTTACAGTATTATAGAGGAAAAACCCAATAAATCCCCCTTAAGCAAGCACTTGGCAACAATGGAGAGGAAAAACTCCCTTTAACAGAAGAAACCTCTGACAGACCCCAGTTCTTGGTGGGCGGCCTTCTGCATCAACAGGTTGGGGTGAATGGACAGGACAGAGAGAACAGAAAAGCATTGGGACACAACAAATAAACACTGTAGATATCTACAACCTTTTTAGCATTACTATGACTTTCTGAAGTGTGTGTGCTCTACCTTTTGGACTTTTAGGAGAGATAATATTACCTGTCAGTTACATTATAATAATAAACACTGTTTCTGGACACAGACAGTGACGTACACAGTGACCCAACTGTCTGGAACTGTTATGTGGACTTGGTTAATTTTATAATGTCAAGTGGTTGCACAAATGAAATTTATGTGGAGTGTACTTAAATTTTATCATTTTTAGGTTAATTATTTGTGTGAATATGACTCATTTGTTTTGAGCTAACAACTCAGAATTCCTCAGTTCTATATTCTTAAACTCATTAATCGATTTAGATTGCTTTTAGCGCAATATTTTTGAGTGCACTCAGCTCACTCTGTTTATTTTAACTAAACAATTTAAGCTATTATCCACAGCTAAACTTAATTTCATATTCAGGGTAAAAAAAATAGAGAGAGACATGAAAAGAGTCAGTGACTCCTGGAGGACATGTCTGCATTCAGAACATCTGGAAATGAGATGTCAACAGCAAGGGGACAGAGAGAGGTCAATGGCCAAAGGTCCAGCACAGAGAACCTAAGTGAAAAGCCGGGACAAGGAGGAGAAAGCAGGAACAAAGAGGCACATAGATTGGGTGCTCATGTGCACCCAATCTATGTGCTCAAGTGGTCATAGAGATGCAGAGGGAGAATGATAATAGGCACAAGCCTTGAAGTAATTAAAGAATAAGCCACTACCCAAAGAATGAGTTTTAAGTTTGGATATAAAGGTCTTTACAGAGTCTGACTGTCTAATGCCAGCAGGGAGGTTAGGTCAGAGGAAAGGGCACAACAGGAAAAGGCCCTAAAGCCTGCAAACTAACTCTGGGGACAGACAGGAGCCCTGAGAAGAGAGAATCAAAAAGACTGTTGTTTGATAAGTAGGCTGAAAGCTGCTGAGTAAACTTTTTCTTGTACTTTTGAAAAGAACGGAAGGTTAGACACTGATCAATAATTATTTAGAAACTTTGAATCAAGATGTGGTTTCCTAAGTAGATGCTTTTAAAGCAAGACAGGACAATGCCAGTTTTAAGAAATACATTAATGATGTTGAGCCTTGTAGGTCTTAAAACTGGCCAAAGATTTTTTTAAAGTTTAGTTGGTAGAGGGTTGAGGAGGCAAGTATGTTTAGAAAGTGAGACCAGTTTAAACAGTGATTCAAAAATTGTGATCTCAATATTTGCTAAGACAGAGACTGGGATTCAACAGAATGCTTGAGTGGTTTTGCAAAAGAAGCTGGAGATAATGAACTCATTTTGTATCTAATTTACTGCAGAAAAGATCTTTTTAAAATCAAGCAGCTGGTTTTTGAGTAAGTCTGGCTACACTGTCACAAAGACATCAAAGATTATGTTTCTTGTTATTGACTGAGCTTGTAATTTAGTGCACACTCATGCCCTTGTAGGCAGAATAGTTGCCATTTGTGCCCCACTTTCCTGCAGGCATACTTAAGAGCATGTGTTTCTTGAGTAGGAACAGAAACAAGAGTGAACAAACATAGCACTCGCTGCACCACTCTGTTTCATCACCCTTTATCTATTTCAGTTTGGAGTTTGGTCATTTGCAAAAACATGAAGTTTCTAAGAGTCATAGCCTGCATTCAGTTTCCTTGTTCTGTGTACAATGATGCAGAAAATAAAAAACAAGAATCAACAGATTACAAGAAATGTAATAAAATAACACTTTAAAATCTATAGAATGAGCTCAATTAACACCTATAACATTTAATGTGGGTTCGAGCCTCTATGGTCAGAATCATTTCACTCAAATTGTCTACAATTGTGTCCACTGGGTTAAAAAAAAAAACTTTCACATGGGTCTCTTAGAGACACAATATACAGTAGCACTGTGTGTATTTTAGGTGTCCAGAGACATTAGAAACACAATGCAATCCAAACAGTGTCAATACATTCATATAGCTTTTACAGAAACAATTTGTTCCTGTTGTCACCCCTGACAACGAGCAGCACTGTTAACATATTGGTACCATCATGTATTCCCACAGACATATTAGCTGGGGACTCGACTGACAGGCATGTGTGAACACAATATATGATAATGATTTGGATATCAGCCCTACTTCTGCTGATAATGACCCCTTTCAGATGCTGTATCATTAATGTACTTACACAGTGTAGCAATCATAGGCATGTAGAAGCACAACAGGGGGCTTAATTGTCACTGTGATGTTGCCCAGAGTGACAGCAATGGGACATGATTAGAGTGGTTGTAATTATAAAAGGAAGTAAAGCCAATGCAAGGTCCCCCACACCCACTAGCCTCTATTATCACATTAATGACAATGGACAGACATCAAGGATGTGGTAATAAAAATGCCCACTTTGTAGTTTCCCCATTATACAGTGCTGCTAGACTGTGATCACATTCATCCAGATATCCACCGAAATGAATTTGAAACGTATTAAATGAATGAGGCTGAGCTGGAGGTAGCAGCATTTGATACAATTCACTGGAATTTCCCTCCAAACTCCCCTTCTCCCTTCTTGATGCTGTCTACGCCTGTGA